AACGTTTTTCCCCACCAGACCATGGTTTTGTTTCTAGCAGGAGAGGAGAGCAATGGCCTCAGCACAGGGACATTCCCATTGCCACAAGGAAGGGGACGTGGCTTCCAGGGCCCTCACCTAACTGCACAAGGGCAGCCCTTGCAGAGCCAAAAGCCAGCGACAAGGACCCACAGTGCCACTTAGAAGTTTAAGCCAAGATAGGGGTAGCAATCCTGTTACTACTGTGAATGGCAACATCAACACCATCTCCTACAGCCACATGGTAACTGTGCTTCTCATGCTGTGCCCCAAACTTCAGGGGGTTCCAACTCTTGTTCCAACAGTCTGTGATAAAAGAGCACATTCCACCCTGGTTTTACTTCTTTATGTAATTCTTAGGTCAAGCCTCAGCCAAGAGTTGATTTCCCCTCTCCAGACACCGGCTTCCCCTGGTTTGCAGTTTTCTTGGGCTAGTGAGCTCTAAGCAAAGCCTTGTCCTTTGTAGTAAATAGGGGCAGTGTCCAGGCTCGGGTCACCAAAAGCAGGAACTGGGAACGGCACCGAGGCGTGCTCGTGCTGGAGGCAGGGCTCAGAAACACCAGCAACAGGCCACGTGGAGATGGTGCTGCCCGTCACAGGCTCAGCGGGACGGGAGGAATCGTGCCAAGCCCAGATCAGTTTAACAGGTCTCTCTACCCTTTATTTTCAGCAAGGAGAGTGCTAACAAAGGTCTGCTAAGCCCATCTCGGCTGTTATGCTCGAGCACGGGCACAGCAGTAAACAGGCAACTTGGCTTCTGTTCCAATAGAAACACCAGACAAAGTTTAATGGTTCTCAAACAGACTACAACAAAGGCTGCAGGGAAAAACATTTTATTTCCAAGCAGATTACAAAGAGCAGAGAATATAAGAGTAAAATTAAATTAAAAAAATAGTTGAGTGCATCTCTTTAAAATGATTTGTAGTGTGAGTTACTCACGGGGCAAAGCTACTGGAGAGTTCTGAAGGTCACTTTGCAGGATGCCAATCACATGTGCTGTTTTAGACCAGGGTCAACACGGGAGGGAGAGACAAGACGTATTTTGCATATAGGCTGCACACTCATTATCAAGCGAGGCTCTGGGCTGCAACTGGACCCTGCCTTTCTGAGACATCCCCTCCACCTCATTCTCTCCTGCAGTTCCCTCTCAAGTTCTAGATGCGGTTTATTGCTGCTGTGAGTGAGTTCAATTTGCCTCCCCATTCTGATGGGCTCAAACGAGAATGGAAAATGGGCAAACGTGGCTGCCATGCACAAGGTTACAGAGGGGAAGCGACCGCAGTGCTGAGAGCTGAGCTCCAGCCACGCCACAAAGGGGACTGACAAGCAAGGGGGGACAGCAATCGCTTCAGAGATTCTGGGGCAACGTGTCAGTGAGACTTCTGGAAGAAGATTTGAGATGCTCCTTAAGGTAGGAAGATGCTCGAGCTGAGAAGGGCTCTTTCCTATGCATTGGCACCAGTGAAACAGAACAGGCAGAAACATCAGGGCGAGGTACGTTCCCTGGAGCAGTCAAGAGGAGCAGCTCCAGGAAGAAGATGGGAGAAAAGCCCCATATAGGGTGGAAGACAGTTTCTATCCCACTTTAACAGTGATTTAGGAGTCAACACACGAATTGCAAGAAAGTTACAATTAAATTTGGAGGAGAACACAGGTTGGTTGGACTGTGCAGAGTCAGTCAGTGTCTGGCAGCACTCAGACCAGCAAGAGGATTTCCTAGGTTAACAGTTGGACTTGATGATCTTAAAAGGTCTTTTCCAACCTGAACAAGTCTATGATTCTAAAGATGAGCTACTACAGCATCAGCAAGTCCTCCACCCCACAGATGCCCAGAGGGCTCTTTCCTACCACTTTTAGATCAGTTCCTATCACAGCATAGGAGGCTTGAAGATGCCTAGTCCATTCTACTTACTCCAAGGTGGACAGTAGCCCTGAGACAGTTGAGAAGAAGACTGCCTTAATTTCAGCACTAGGAACAATGGTGGAAAAAGGATTCTTATTTAGGGATCAGATTAAGTCTTCTTTTCGTTGGTCCAAGGCAGAACAGTTCACAAACTACTTCACACCTTGTCTCTCACCTGAACTCCAGATCTCTAGGGGTGAGGCAGCCAACACACGAGAGCCCTGCTGAGTTACTTGGACTGTTCCCTTTACTCACCACTCTAGACAGAGTGAGGAGCCACTCTCTAGTCTGCTCTTCAGCCATTATCACTCTAAGGAAATGCTTGAACTCTTGCACTTAGATGGAAATCTAACAGTGCCACAGACAAGTGTGTAAGAGGCTACAAGTTTCCTTCGGAGAGCAACGCCACTGGTGTCAAGAGAGGACGGCACGCGGGTCGCACGTCAGAACGCGAGGTGCTCGACAGCCACGCTCTGCTGTCTGTGCCCCCTGTCCTGCCACAGAGACGAGAGAGGCAGAGTTCAAAACCAGCAACGCAGGGTCTCTAGCTCGACTCCTCAGTTGATTTCAGCCTGTCCCACACCAGGCGTGGGGCGTGGAGCTCGTCCGGCAGGTACGCGTGTACGGGAGCTGGCGGTTTGGCACTCTCGGAGCCGAGGACGGGGCGAATGCCCTTCCAGCAGCAGTCAAGCTGGCTCTAGGGAAGTGTTAAAAAGCTATTCTACATGTTTGACTGGGAACATTTCCCAGACCTTCGATAGCAACATTAAGCCACAGCATTCTTCTGTGCTACTCTGTACACGTCTTCCTATGAGCCCCTAAAAGGGAGCAGATCATGTTCTTCACTGTTAAAGAACATAGTATTTCTGTTCTAGAAATACTGTACCTTTTAAGCTAGCTCCAGAGAGCCAGACTAGAAGCCAGGTCCAGGAAAGTAATCCTCAAATCACAGTATATCGATTGTCTCTAAAAATAGGGAGTGAAGTTAACACAGTGGACATTCTGATGAGACAGTACAGAACAGTACAGCAGTCCACTTCCATGTCAGCAAATCCCTCTCCTATGTGTGTCCAAAGAATGAGAAAAATAATGAAAACGCTTCAATCTGTCAGGTACAAAGCCAACCATCAGGAGATCTCCACAGTTCACGACGTGCCAAGTTCCCCCACTCCTAAGCAGTACAATACTTTTCAAGATCAAGGAGAACTCTTCCCTTACAAAGATTTTAGATCATCCTACAACTAATGGTAGTAAGGAAAGTGCACAATCTAGAATTTTAAGGTAACATGGAATTGTTTCCCCAGAAAGCTCAGCTGAAGGATCTGTTCACCCCTAATCTGGAACTGCCCTAATAATTCTGTCAAGTGATTCCAACTTCTGGTGATTTTTACAGTAAGAGGTGACTCCCAAGGCCACCTAATGGCACACCTGTTCACGAGGTGTCTGGCAGATGGCTTCAACACCCCCAGCATTTCAGATGGGGACAGACAAAGCAGCAGGCTGGTGCTGAGGTACGGGCGTGCCGGAGCCAGGTCCCCACACAGTACTGCAGAACATGCACCAAGACTCAAGCACGGCTGTCTGCAACCCCTATCTTTGCAGCTCTGTTTAGAAGATGGGACAAACTGCCCAAAAGAATGGGAAATCTGCTCTGTGCAGGCCCAGTGAGCATCCTGAACAAGCAGCACACCCAGCTGCTAAAAACAGCGGGAAATTGCCCCTTACTATGACCTTAAATTAGAGCCAGAGATGGGGGTTCCAGTGAGTGAGCACTGGGAAGGGATTGCAGGCTTCCGACGGGCGAGCAGCGCTGGCCATCGCGACAGCCACCCGACCTGTGGCACCGGCTGGCTCCCAACGGCCCAGCAGAGCCCAGGGCACGTGCTACCAGCACCACACACCACTCAGGCACCATCTTCCCAGCTTACCCACTGGGGCACCAACCCCAGGCTGTATTCCCCTGGCATAGCCGAGGGCAAACACCGAGCTAAGAGCCTAGAGCACAGGTATCTGTGAACAGCCTCACCTCTCGGCCGCTGTGTGAGCGTGGGGTCCTACACAGGGACCAAAGCACTCGTGCTGACAACCAGCCCAAGCACACCCGCCTCCTCATGGACACCAGCATCAGTCTGGAACATCAGAGCCTGGAAGTCTCTCTACGCCCACACAGCTCAGCGCTGCTCAAGAGCACAAAGACAGGGAAGGTGACAGCTACTCCCACCACTCACACTGTGCACAGCCGACAGAGGGCAAACCTTCCTTCCCAGTACAGACAGGTGCTGGTCAACAGAAGCTTCAGGAAAATTGCTTGCCTGTACACAAGTTTAAGTTCTTTTACTGTAATATATATTTAAATAGATATCTATATATTTTGGAACAGGGAATGGACATGAAACATAGAAGCAATGAAAACAAGTTCAAGAAGCAGAGTCACCTCTCTGCATCCAAGAAGCTGGTGGCACAAATAACAAGCCTGGCTAGAGTGATCTCCCATTTCAAGCACGGTTGGCTACCCACTGGCTTCAAAAGAGCAGACTACTTGTTAATGATATAAAATACAGCAATCATTTAAGATGCAGCAAGGCAAGGCTACAGGGCTGGGGTTTATGATCATGAATGATGCCAGAAGCTACACAGCTCTGTTAAAAACTCTGAAAAGGCTGTTAAACAGCAGGAGTAAGCCACGTGCTGCTCCTGGAAGGCCTTTTCCCTCCAACACCCCTCCATCATGCCGTTGGTGTGATGTGTTTGCAAAGATGGGGACGGGGGAATTGCCTCGGGGTGAAGCCTCACAGGCTGGCCACAGAACATTAGGACAGTCTGATCTGGTCTCACAGATCCCATGGTTCCTAGCCTGACACTGAGCTTCCATCAGCAAGCAGACATTCAGGTCCTTTAACAGAAGTTAATCCCCTTCCTACCTTCCTAATTTGTAGGGGTGAAAGAAGTCCAGCAGAGTCAAGCTGGAAAGCACAAACAGGGATGAGCACAACCAGTTTGCATACTGATCTTTGTGTAATGACCCTCCCCACCCTCACAGCTCACTCTTCCCCAAATAAAGACACATTGTTCAATGGCATGTTGAAAAGACGTGCTCGTCATTCTTAATAAACAACTAGAGTAAGAATACATAAGAGAAACAGGGTGGTATCTTTATATGATACACAAGTGTATGTTACAAGAATTCCATCAGGCACAGAAGCCTCAAGGTTTAAGGCCTCAACGTTAGGCCAAAAAAAGAAGAGTGTGGTAAAGTTTGTACTTTTAACATCTAAAAATGTCACTTAAAGGTCTTAATAGAAATCGTTGGTTTGGGTTTTTTTTTTTTTTTTGTATAAATCACAACTGCAGTTCACTCTCTCCTCTTCCTTCCAAGATAACAGCAAATTAACGTCCAAGCACAAGAAAAGAAGATGCCTGCCTCTCCTCCACTGGCTGAGCAGGTCCATCCATCATTCTGTGCCCTCTAGGCTGCATGTGCTCCAAGGAGACAGAGGCCCCAGCCATCCAGGCCCATCCTGTAGTTCATGTTTTCTACACCATAAAAAAAAAACAGAGTCAACCAGCAGCTTTCCACAGCTCCCAGCTCGCAGGGGATATGCAGCCTCCAATGGTTCCAACAGTTTGGTGTGTTGGGTAGGATACACAATGGGTAGGTTTTCCTTTAGATTCTTTTAAAGAGAAGAAGCCTAAAAGGGCTTCATAACTACACCAATAAAAAACCAAAAACTTAGGCATCTCCTTTAGTGTAAAAGTCTGTACAATTTATCTTTGCCTGTCCCTCCCCCGTCCCCCGCCCCACCCCTTCTGCGCCAAGAAGGATGCCTTAGTGCATGGTGCTGGCGTTAGCCACGGCAATGGCTTCCTGAATCTCTCGTATCACCAGGATCCGGGTGAGCATCTGCTCCATCTGCTCTCTGCTGATCGGCTGGATGGAGTACCAGATAGGGCTGTTGGGGGCCACCACTGGCTCCGGTGTCAAGTAAAACGTGTCATTCCGGCCTTTCACGCTCTGGGGGCTGCGTGAGGAAGATCAGAAATAACCAGACTCACAATGTCCTGGAGGACCACCGCTGTCCTCACCCCACGCTTCACAATTCCCAACACTGAACAGCTGGCTGATGAGACAGGAAGGCATGGAGTTACAGCCGGGGCCAACAGCGGTCCCACAGTTCTCAGGCCATGCCAAGGTTAAAAAGCCATGGTGATGGCTACAAGAAATCGTGCTTATTTCACACTGGTAAGTGTAACACATATGGCTTTGGGGTCGTTCAGAGCAATTCAAGGATGGGCCGTTTCCACATCCAGGCTTAGCTGCAGACCCAGCCACGCACAATAACGTTTACATTAATGGTCAGAATCATAATTTAGATGCGAGCCCCTTTGAAGCCCGCTTCAAGCTCCACAGAAAGTCCTCCTTTTTGTTCAGAAGCCGATTCAAATGGGAGTCTAATCTCATCTCAAGCAGTGGATGCTTCCAGATGACTTGCTTGCAAGTCACAGGCAGAACAGCGAGCTCGTGCCAATGCAGCAAACCTCCAAAGTAAGTAGGAGATTAAGAGCAGCCAGTTCGCAAATCAGGATGTGTCTCCAAATACCACAAAAGTTCAACTCTACATGCTATCAGAGTAAATCCCACCCTCTCACATCAACGCCCCATCCCATTTCAGTAAATTTATGCAAATATAGAAACTGTGTCAGCAATAAAACACAGCCCTCAAAACTAGGCCAGCTACAAGATGCAGCTTAACAGTCACCGAAGACAAACGACTCTACAGAGGAACAGGAGCACTCACCATTTGAAGAGGTAGAAGTCATACAGCTTTATCGGACACCTCAGGGGGTTCTCTGGGTTCTCAGTCTGCTCTGCATACATGTCATCTGTAACTACAAACCAGCCCCCCAAGAAGTCTGTCAGACACTCCAAGTACAGCAAACAGAGCTGTGCCATGCAGCCTCAGCACCTTGGCACCACACAAGAGCCACACGGCTGGGCCAGGGCAGAGGCACCTGGTTAGAAATGCTCAGAGCACTGTATGGAGAGCCTGCTTTATCCCAAGGCTACCGAATAACACAACCCATCCATATCCTTCTCTCCAATTCTCCTCTACCTGTGCCCAAAAGGAGAGAAATCTCACTACAGACACTGCAATGCCTCCTGTGAATCCTGGCTTCACGCTTTTAAGAGGCCAGGTTGTGCTTATACATGGATTTTGTATGGGTTCACATGAGTCAAGGTAAGAGAAGCTCTCACAAAAGTTTCTCCCTCTGCTCCTAAGCAGTTGTATCCAATACCCCCTTTGCCCACAAAAAAACCAAAAACAACAACAAAAGTTATCCTTAGTTCTTGATGAGCCCTGATTGCCTCAGCTGAGGTATGTCCCCAGGCTTACCATCAGAAGGTACTATGCTCTCTCAGGCACAATGCCCAGAAAACTCGTGCTGCTAGGCTGAAGGTAAGGGACAGAGCCTTGGGTTCTTGTGGCCCTACCTGTAGACAGCTCCAGGTTCATCCACTTCCTTCAAGCCCAGTAAGTAAATAATCCCAAAGAAAACTTCCAGACACTACCTTTCTGTCCTGTCTGGTGTATGCCATGAGCCTTCAGATAGCGGATACTCGTGCTTTTGTCCTTGGGATTAGAAGGGTTCTTCTTGGTCTGCCTCAACACCTTGGAGAAGGCCAGCTTCATGTGCTGGTCTACTGTTTTCAACAGGAAGTACCTGAGCAGCAAGAAGAGAACACAGGACAATCAGAGGCAAGTAAAGGGTACAGTCACAGCAGTGAGGTAGTTGTCTTCACTTGCTGTGAGCCAGCTGAAGCACAAACCAACATGGAGTTAAAGACTGTTTCAGCAGCAAAGCATGCAACAGCCACAAGTCCAGTTTCCCCTCCACTAACTCATTTCCTTGTTGTACTGCACCTGCTTTGCTTGATGGGGCTGCAAGATGGGTTCTGTGTGCAACTATTCAAAATTCATTATTTCACCCTAATCCAGTGGAGCAGTTTCCTACCAACCCTGTGAAGGTGCTGGAGGTTCTTTTATACCCCAAAGACCAAAGTACTTACTTTGTATTAAAAAACATCAGTGTAGTGAGCAAGGTGGAAGGGGAGTGAGCTCCTAGCTGCTTACACTCCCACAGCATCTCTTCTGTTACATGACTGGAAAGGACATAACCTGCAATAATCAGAAGTCAGCATCATTCCAGGAAGCAGTCGCAGCAGGAACACAGGCAGCATTTTATAGTCTGCAAGTACTAGAGAACACATAAATCTTAAGGGAAGGAGAAGGAGGAGCAGCTCCTCACTGATGTCAAGATTCACTACTGTGTAAGTAACTTTTTAAATAGCAGATCCAGTTAGGAAACACTTGGATACACGAACGTCAGCCTCTAGTTGCTTCTGCAATACACACATACATCCCAGCCCAGAGAGGAATAAATATGCACTTAAACAGCTTTTAATTAATGGCTCAGCTCCAGTGCAGATGCTCCTAATCCAATAACATGTGAGAGCAGGCAGGCCAGTGTAACAAATCAGCTCTTGGCCCTGTGAGCAGCTTCAGTCAGCACCCAGTGCCAAGTGATGTATTTGGACACAGGAGTAATCCTTTGATTCTCCCATTTATTTTTTTTTCCCCCCTTTGTGTAGAAGAGAAATACTATACTCCAAATACACAGATAAACAGAAAAACACACAGCAGTATGAACTCCAGGGCTTGTGGAATGACAAAGCAGAGATCAAACAGCCAGAGTGGAAACAAAAAGACTCCAAAACTCAGGGTGGTACTTAGCCATCTAGCCTGTAACACCAGCTACTTTCTGAACACAAGCAATAGCTTCTTCACTGACATCTAATCCCACCAAACAGAATGAAGTAATGAGAAACCAGGTCTCTGTGCTCTGAAAATGCAATTCTTCACCTAGTTCTCATATACAGCTCTGTCAAAATCTGTCTCTTCTGGAACTGCTCCCCCATCCCTGTTGCCATCATCTTCTAAACGCAGGGCTGAGATGAGCTGCATTTGATTGCAGCGTTCAAGGCTCTAATCACACATTGTTTTTTTTCTTTGACACTCAGCTGGTCCTGCAGACCGTACCCATCTGGCTACGTGGCAACATGACAGCCTTGTATTATCTCCCAAAGTAACAATACTTATTAGAGGCAAGATGTATCAGTACTCCAGATGAGGAAGCTTGATTCAGATCAAGGATCAGCTGGCTTCCAAGTAAGCCAGTCTCATGACAGTACAAAGTCCCAACAATCTTGCCTTCTGATGGGTGACAAGTGCTGGACAAATAATCCTCAATGACAACCAGAGCTAGAGCCTGACACGTGCAGTAACTTAAGCACTCACTGCAGACATGTTTTTGATCCCTGACCAGCATGAGCTGTCCTAAGGATATGAAGTACCTCGAAAGGGTTTCTATTCAGACCACACTTAGAGAGTCATAGAATCATTTTGGTTGGAAAAGAGCTTTAAGATCATTGAGTCCAACCATTAACCTAACACTGTGATGCCCATCACTAAACCATGTCTCTAAGCATCACATCTACACATCTTTTAAATCCCTCCAGGGATGGGGACACCACCATTATTATTAGCCTCTTCCAGGGCTTAATAACCCTTTCAGTGAAGAAAATTTTTCCTAAAATCCAGTCTAAACCTCCCTTGGTGCAACTTGAGCCCACTCTCTCTTGTCCTTTCACTTGTTATTTGGCAGAAGAGACCAATCCTCCCCAGTCTCCTTTCAAGTTGTCAAGAGCAAGAGGGTCTCCCCTAAACTGCCTTTTCTCCATCATGCAGTTCGGTTTAAACATTCCAAACTCTGGAAAGTTTTGAAGTTTTTAAACAGAAGTTCTTACCAAGAGGGGAAACGCGGGGCTGTACGTCCTTAAGAACTTCATGCAGCCATTCAGTGAAACGAATGTAGTAGAGGTCTGAGAAGATGTCATCTACTCGGCCATTTTCAAAGAGATACTGTAAGAAATTCACAACACACTCCAGGACAGTGTAGCAAGTATATTCCTCAGACCAGCCCTCATCCTGAGAGCCCACGCACCCTGTTAGTCAAGCATTTTACAGCATAGCACTGAAGACTAATACATTTTACCTAGAAGAGCAAGAACCCCAGCACCAAGGCTGGTACAGGGTAGGGAATATCAGTTACTATCATGAGGACAGTAAGACAAAAGGGAAAAAGCATCTTAGAGAAAATAAAGCTGGTCAGATTTCACCTTTTATTTCAGGTGTGTTCACAGCAAGTTATGTCATATGACTGTCCTTCAAACACTACTTGTTCAGGTTAAGGAAAGATGTCCAGTTCTATCAGAGCTTTGCTCTGTTCCTGCAGCTCTTCCACGAAGTACACTAATGTTACCAGCTCAGACTTCCCATACAGTACAGAGCTAGGTTCTTGCCTGTTAAAACTTCAGCTATATCAAGTTTTGACATTGACAACTTCCTCAAACATCATCCAACCCACCTCCCCCTGCCAAAACAACTAAAAGGATTTATTATTCTCACCATGGTACTGAACTCTATTATTAACAATTCTTTACAAATTTAACTCAGTAGGTGAAAGAATTGCTGTGCACTAATTATATTTCATATGGAGTTTTTTTGCTGTTTGTTTTTGTGATTTTTTTTGTTTTGTTTTGTGTTTTAAAGCAAGGAGAATTTTTTCACATTAAATTCTTGGGAAGCTTAACAGAAGCCACAGTTTCCATTTTTATAACAGAGAATCCTCCCAATACATGCCGACAACATGTGTGGCTCTGCTGCACATGTAGCTGTCCCCCCCTTTACCTTCTGAATACACAGGAAGATATAGTAGAGCACATCTGGGTCGTAGGGTTCACCATCACCATTTCGAGCTTCTCGTGTCATTAAGCATAGACCATAATTCAGCTCAGCCACAGCTGAAGAGATGAGATCTTCCTGGAACCTCAGCAGCTGACGCCCTGGAAAAACAAAACAAAGCCATGTTATTTAAGCTGTAAAGCCATATTATTTCCCACTCTTTTAGGAATGATTTCTCAGATCTTCAGCTTTGCCGTTCTATCTGGCAGGGCCAATATTACATCATTTTCCCAGTATAACACAGAGAGCTGAAATAAATCAAGATCTTAGGCTGTCAGATCTACTAAAAGATAATCAGGCAAGAATCTGACAGGAAGACTCTCTGCCCTGCCAACTACATGGCTATCACCTTCTTTTACCACATCCACAATGAAATGCTGCCCCACAGCAACAGGAAAACAGCAGCACGGTGACTGCTGCACCAGCTCAGCTGGCACTCACAGCCACCTCGTTCACCCATGCACCAGTCACACAGGGCCCTCTCCTCCTGCTGCCAGCCTAGGTGCTCCAGCTGGCTCAGCACAGAGCTAATGCCTCCCTTGGAACGTGTCCTGCCGCAGTGCGAGCGTGCAATAACGACTGCTGCAGAGCAAATCAAAGTTTAAATTTAAAAGCAATCCCTGATTACACAGCAATGTTTTCCAGAGCAGTAAACGTTTTAGTCATTCCTAATCCTACTTGAAAGGAAGGCCATATTGTCATGACACCTACTTCCAATAGGTGCTAGTCTATTTTGGGCTTCCTTTTCCAGCTCTGCATTCTTGGTCTGTGCCCAGCTTTTCCACACTTCAAGCCCTTCTTCTGGCTTCAGAGAGTTTGGAAGTAGAAGTTCAGGTGAAGTCTGTGGCTGTTGCTGTGGTTCAACTTCAGCAACCTGAACAGTCTGAGCCTATGAAAGAAAACATTTCAGTTGTATATATACACTTTGATATGCAACAGTTTGACAAAACCCAAGTAACGCCACAACACCTCTAGTCCAGGAAATCTTTGCACACTCCTCTCTAACAAGATACTAATCCAAGAAGCACAACTTTTGGTCCTTAACCCAAATTGCTGTTCACAAAGAATATTTATCTCTCCAAGAATACTTTTAGTTTGAATGGATGTATCTATAATCCCTTTAGCAAATGCACACGACAATCCAGTGCAGTTTGATGCACTTGGAAGTCCTGCAGAACACCACAGAAGACCAAGCAGCCACAAGCCAAGCTAGCCAGTACATCCAAAGGCAAGGATCCTCACAGCACTGAAGTCCTCTCAACAAGAGAATTCCAGTCTCCCCTCAAGCCAGGTCACTGTTGATTCTGAAGCACTACTTACTCCAATGCATTCTTCCTGACTTCAGCCCACTTGTCACTCTGAGCCCCCACTGAAGTCCATCTCACTACAAGAGTGGCTCTCAGACACAGCAGCTAGAGAGACTGCCAGCCCCTGGCAGGGAAGGACAGCAAGGTGCCATCCTCTTACCAACCAGTGTTGCTCCAAGCCCCAGCTGCCCTGAGCGAGGCTCTGGGTACGACGGCGTGCTGGACACTGCCACTGTCCCTCCCCACCTCTGGCCATGGAGCACAGGCTCTGCTCAGTCTTCAGTGCAGAACAGACGTGCTCTGTTCTTATCAGCAGCAGCTGATACAGTCAATTCATTTGTAAGAGGTATAAAGTAATAACAGACTAGATCACCAGCAAACATTAATTAGTTGCAACACAACGCTCTCAAACTACCAAATACTGCTAATGATGACTAGCTACTGTTCTGTGAAGAGCTACTGTAGGACTACTATAGACCCCATCAGTCTCCAGACCCCTTGGAAGTTTACTTTGCAGCAGGACCTTAAGTGAGCACGAATTACTCCTTCAAATCAAAACTTAATTTTACAGGTAACTGATGGCACCCTTGCAGAAAGATCATCAAGCCCTCCAGCTGCTGCATGCACTCTGCATTCCTCAACTCCAGTTTCTCAATCCCATGCCACACAAAGTCTCATGGCTACTTCAAATAAGGAGATTAACTTGAAGCTTCACAGCTCTTAGTCAAATTCCCACTGGTACCCTGAATGTTACAGAGATAGCAATTCTTATATCACACCAGTTTTGCTCTCCTTAAGAGCCACCCCAAAAAGCAAGGCTTTGTTATAATGAAGTAACTTTTCCTTTGATACTACCAAGTGTCGATCATGACTGAGAGCTGCTCTGACAGTACCAGACACCATGAAGAAAATGGCATAGAGACTTGTGATACCTGTACCTTACCATAACAAAAAAGCAGCTTAAGAGCCAAAGCTGCAAAAGCCTCCAACTGGAGATTTCTGACTGCCTTTGGGTGTTTTTTGGTGGTGGTGTTTGTTTTGGTTTGGATTTTTTTCTCCTTTGCATTAGCTCTCAACAGTTCTTTGCTTACCAGCCCCTGCACCACCAGCAGCTGCAGAGGCAGACTATAAACTAAAAGGGCCCAGCTTTTATCACAGCAGGTGGGAAGGAAGTTTAAGTTGTCCAGCAAGCCTCTGCCTGAAAGGACAGGAGTGCAAAGCTGAACCAACACTTTGCCTTTGGAGGAGCTAGGATCGAGCCCCCACTCTCCTCCAAGGCCCTGCCCCCGTACTCTCCAGAAAGCTTTCCAGAGCCAAGCACCTCCATCAGCCCAGCCCAGGGGACAGCCTTCTGCCCTGCCCTCGCAGACGCCTTGTCCAGTGTGAAGGCAGGCACACGGGTGGGACTTGGTTCGCTAGACTGGCAGTTGCTTCTTAACTGACTCACATTTTTCACAGTTAGAGCAAAACAGCTGCAGCTTGCTCAGGTCCCACAGCAGCACAGTGCCAGAGCACAGCACGGACCAAGCAGGTAAGTTCCTTCTCAGTCTCACAGCTGCAAGAGGGACAACCCCCAGAAGTTTCATGTCCACCTACAGTAGCTCTCTCGCGCTCTCAGAGGAAGAGCCCAGGAACTGCAGCCTGCTGCGCAGAGGAGCACACACCCTTCCCAGCAGCTTTACAAGTAACCCCGAAAGAAATCAGAGCCAACACCTCAGAAGGGATCCCAAGAATGTGGCTCATGCTCTTAAAAGACGCTAGAATAAGTCTGTTTAGCAAAAAGGCAGAAAGGTTCTACCAGCCTAGTTTGTTCAAGCAGCTGAAAGGAAGTGACCTCTGAAGTACCCATACAGGGAAAAGTTATGTTCAAAGAGCCTTCTGTAGCTCAAAAAAAAAAAAAAAAGTCCCAATCAAACCAACCCTCACGGATTACAAGACCCATAACCTGTAGCTTGAAGAACTGTGTTATAAAGGAGGACATGCAGCCCCTGAGAGTTATCCAGAAATGTAGGGAACTCTTTACATTGAGGAACTTGGTGGGCTATAGCCCACAACTGACTCAGAAGCAATCAGAAATGGCTACACAAACTAACCCTCCTTGTCTCAGAGCTCACTGATAAAGGAGAGGACATATACGCCTTTATAAAGCCAAGAGTGATATTTATAAACTGAAAAGAATTTATAACAACATTTATGCTAGCAGACTTGGCTATTTTTGCCCTCATTCCATTCAGCAAAAACAGGCTCTGACAGATCAATCACTTTTCACTTTCTGGTAATAAAAGACAAATTACATCCATTTGCACATATAAGAGAAGCCATTAACAGCCCTAGTTATTCTTAAAAGCCAATTCAAAATAATCTATTGCTTAAAGTTAGCAACAAGGCCTTTAAAAAAAACAGCAACAGATTTATTTGCCCTGAGCTGCTGGTTGCTGTGCTCCTGCACGGCAGGAATTTACCAGCAGCAGGGCACAGTGTTAGTGAGGCAACACGGTCCACAAAGTCTGCTCCCAACTAGTCAGATTCTGACACTTTACTTGCACGCTGGACCTGCCCTGGACTCTTAAGCGCCATGTAAAACAAAGGAGCCCATGACTAGGTGACTAGAGTATTTGCACACCCTACTGTGCTGCAATCAACCCCGCCTGCCACCCCTAGAGCAGCTGAGCAGAGGACTGCAGATCTCAGAACACCTGCTATGAAGAAGCTGGCAATAAGCAGGTATCTATTAATTTACGCTACAAGTATCTATTAATGTACACTACAAAAAATCAAGACTGTACTTACTTTTGGGAAGTTTTGAATCCTGTAATTATGTACCAACATTAGGACATTGTAGTCCTACACCCATCAGCAGTCACATGCCCTACATCATGCCCAGGCTACTGGGACAGACGCATCCTTGCTTCCTAGATACCAGCAGCCTGCAGCATCCTCCATTCCCACCACCTCCACAATCTGTCCATCAGGGACTGAAACCCTGAAGCAGTTTTAACTTACCGAGCAGGTGACTTGTAGCTGCTGCTGCTGGCCCTGCTCCTGGGGCGTGGGCTGCTGCTGCTGCTGCTGGGGGTCCCATATGTGCACCGTCTGGGCCGTGTTCTGGTACGTCCCCGCCACCGCCTGCACCGCCACTGGAATGTGGATGTTGCCATTCATAAACTGTGCCGGGAAGAGCGAGTTGGCAAGAGTCTGCACCACCTCCTCGTGAGAGTTCTTCACTACTGAAGTACTTCCCACCATCTTGTCCTTGTCATCTTCCAGCTTCACGGTAGTCAGTGTCGTGGGGGAGCCGCTGACGTGGACGGCGTTGTAGGCCTCCTGGGGGATGGCGATGTGGGTTATGTTTTGCTGCTGGAGGTCACCACGCGGCTGAGCCGAGTAAACGGGGATGGTCCAAGTCTCTCCAGTGGGGCTAGTAATGGTCCCAGTGGCACTGTACAGGTGGGCACTGTCCACTGTTAACAAGTCTGGCCGTAAAGAGACGTAGCTTTGCTGCTGGCCCTGCGGAATGGCCAGCACCGTGGCAACCGGCTGCCCCGAGATGGCGTACGACACGGTAATGGGCATATCCACCTTACGCTTCTTCACCGGCTGAAGGACGCTGGCGGTGCTGATCCGCCGCTCTCCCTCTCGTGGGGAGCCCTGTTGAGAAGGCGGAGGTGACATCGCCCCAACCGTCTGGATCTGGATCTGCTGGCCACCAGTAATGGCCTGTCCTGCCACGAGCTGGGCCTGGATCTGCTGGTGTTGTATGTGTTCCTCCTGTATCTCCGCAGCCTGGATCTGCTGGGTGCCCTGCACATGCTGCACTTGAATCTGGGCCGCCTGCAGCTGCGACGGGCTGGGGCTCTGAAGGGACTGACTCTGTATTGTCTGCGACGCCTGCTGCTGCGCCTGGCCTTGGATCTGCACCTGGACCTGTATTGGTTGCTCCGAAGCCTGATGGACAGTGAGCTGTGGAGAGAGCTGCTGGGCGGAGACCTGCTGCAGTGACTGTTGGACCTGGACCTGAACCTGCAATGACACCAGTTCAGCAGTTAGAGAT